TCTTGGCAACTCGCCTCCCAGCCTGCCTGGCGGGGTCGAATTTTGGCGGATTGCAACTAAAATTCGGCATGTTCTGTCCAGTTGGGTTGAGGGCTAAGATGCGATGTCTGTCCTGCGTTTCCCTCGAGACGGCGGGGTTGGAGGTGGAGGGTGACGAGGGGGAAGGGGGCAATAATTTAAATCTGGTACGGGGTCGTGAAAGAACACAAAGGACGCGGTTTTTCACTGGAAAAGAGCTGAGATTTTGCTTGAAAATAGGAACTGGCAACAGAGGGGTTATGGGAAGCAGGAATGGGGGAGAGGGGGGAAAGAATATATAAGCAGATTGTAGCAACCAGGTTGACCATGAAAGTCTAAATCGCTAAGGCACGACTGGGAGAAGGGGACAAGAGTGAGGTAAAAGACGTCCCGGCCCATTAAGTCATATGCGTCTTAACTCAACACTGCGACTGGACCTTGTCAGTATATAGTTTATTGTGATGTTCAGCAAGAAATGTAACGCTAAATTAAAGCTGCCAAACCACACCTGAAACCACGCCTAAACGAAAAACGTAGCATTTATGCTGTCTACGAATTTCGCAGCTTGTTCCCAAGCCCAAAGCCGAGTGCTTAGACAGGCCGAGTTTTAGTAGTTGTCTGGTTTTTTCCTGTGTATTATCGTCCGCGGTTCTACGTGGTGCTGGGTGGTTTTTTCGGTCTTTTTATATGATTCATACGCGTTTTCTTTTAAATTTCGTACGTTAGGAACCGGTCGGGCGATTCGCTGGCATTGCAAGACGTTTCGTGTCATTGCATTGTTTTGTCGTTGCTGCGGTGCTATTTTTCAACAAGAGGCCGTACGTGGGTAGAGGGGAGGGCTCGTACGCGGGTACCACGCTTGCCCGTAGACTGGGTTTGAGTTCATTAATACCTACTAGGATGGGGAACATCCTCTTAAAATTTCAGCTTTCTAGCTTTTCTGGTTCGCGAGTTAGCAGTTATCGGGTATTGCGGGAAAAAAATGTGCGCAAAAAAAAGTGCGAGCGTTTTTTCGTTACTTTTTGCTATCGTTCTGTAGAAGTACTCTATAGAAGTATCACTGCACGGTAAGATAGACCAGTGAATTGGAACTTCTCTGGTACGGACCCGTCAAAAATTTTCACAGGCCGTACGTGAGAACCACGCACACACAAAGAGAAGGGTTGAATTTAGTAAGTTGTACATGTGCTGGGAATAAGGATATCCTATCTTGTTAGGATCTGTTTAGGAAAATTCGGCGCCCTAGATGATTTAATGGAAAAATGGATATCTCAGATGTTTCATGATTTGGAATTAATTTTGAGAAGACTGGACGCCGCGGTGGATATCCCTGGATTTGGGTGGATTTGGAAGAAATCAGCGCTGCAGATACCCCGGGATTTGGGTGGATTTGGGAGAGTTCGGCGCACCTCAGACATCTCCTACACCTCGGTGTTTGGAACCGGTTTAATGAATGCCAGCACCTTATATACTCCAGCATTCGAACTGGTTTGACGGTTTACGATAGCTCAGCATGCGAACTGGTTCTGGTAGAAATCTCAGTACTTTTAGATCTGTTGGAATCTCGGTACTTTTTCACTGTTTTGGTGGAACTCGGGCCTCGGATGCCCCCTCCTTTTCCCACCTCTCCCCCCGCCCCTCCACCCTCCTCTCCTCCCTCCTCCCTTAGTCTGGTCGGTCTGGTGTCCAATATCTCAGTGGACTTAGTGAAAACTGAACTCCTCCCCCTCTTTCCTTCGCCCCACCCCTTCTCCCTTTACCCCTCCCCCTGCAAATACCTCAGAAAAAATCCCATGCTCCTCGAGTTATGTAACGATGTGCATTTTCGTGGTTACGCAAAAATTCTGGAAAACACCTGGTCACAAAAAAAAAAGATTTTTTTTTTCAGCGATGAGCGTGTTCGGGAAAATATTTGGTGGCGGCAAGAAGACGCAGGCGCCGCCAGCAACACCCCAGGAATCGATACAGAAATTACGGGAAACCGAGGAGATGCTTGTCAAAAAGCAGGAATTCCTGGAAAAGAAAATAGAAGCTGTAAGCCGCCTCTACCTGCCCTTTTTTTGCTTTTTTAACTGGTCTAAAAAGAGACGATGATTTTTGTTGTCTCTAGTCAAAAAAGAAACTTTTTTTTACCAAAAATCAGAATTTCCGTCATATTCGCTGTTTTGAAAAAGCGAAGGCCCTCGGAAATAGCTCGAATAGTTTCCGTGAATAATATATTTTAGCAGTTCCCATCTTAAATTGGGCTAAATCACGGAAGAAGGCGCAAAAAAACATCAAAATTTAGAATCGCAGGACCTAGCATAGCTGCATCTGGCATGTAAAAAATTCCAGTAACATTATTAATATAGGATTCTTCTATCGATTATTAGGACGATCTTGGTAATTTTTTTTCATATTTTGGTATTTTTCCTGGTATTTTTTTTTCTTTGTTACAGGAAGTAGCATCAGCAAGGAAGCATGGTACCAAAAATAAGCGGCTAGCGTTGCATGCGTTGAAACGGAAGAAACAATTCGAGAAGCAACTG